GCCTCTTGCAAGCACAAGGACCCGAGTTCAATCCCCGGTACCAAAACACGCACACACACACACACACACACACACACAAACTTTAAAGGATCTGGAGAAGAATAGGTCCATATCTTGTGTATAATAATATTGATAATAACAACATCACCACCTGGCATTTTTATACTGACTCTCTGCTATTAGTTATTTCTTTGTGGGTGGGAACAGAGAGGCAGCTCAGTGGTAGAATGGCTGATTAACATGCAGAAGGCCCTGTGTCCAATTTCCAGCAATAACAAAAAAAAATATTTTCCTGGAGGAAAATGAACATCGAAGTATTTCCATTTCTCTACTCTTTTTTTTTTTGTAGTTTTTGTTGGTGCTCCTTCAGGTGTCCTTATAGAGTCACTATCAGACTATAAGAATATTTTATGCTCTCTTTTTATATAATAGTGTATTTACATACACACATATAGACATGGCCTTAACAATGACTTTCTAGTAACCTCTTATGCTGTGTACAGCAGATACTACACTACAGATGTGGTATAATTTTGCAAAGAGTGTGCGAAACTGAGAATATCAAATTCTGGCATGATATGGAGCAACAGAAATGGGACTTCACACTGGATAGGAGTGCAAAATATCACAGCCACTTTGGAAGACAGCTTGGCAGGTTCTTACAAAACTAAACATATTTTTACCTATGATCCAGCAATCGTGCTCCTTGGCATTTACTCAAAGCAACTGAAAATTTATGTTCACACAAAAACCTATACATAGATGTTTATAGCAGCTTTATTCATAAATGCCCAACATAGAAGCAACCAAGATGTCCTTTGTTAGGAGAACAGACAAATAAACCTGTAGTGTGTCCAGACAATGGAATACTCTTCCGCATTAACAAGAAATGAGCTACCAAGCTATAAAGAGATACAGAGTAGCTGAGTCTGGAGGAACTCCCCTGAGATCCCACACCGCTGGATGGCTGAGGCAGGAGAGTTGCAAATTTGAGACTAGCCTGGGCAACTTTGGCAAGATCCTGTTGCTAAAGGGCTCGGGATGTATCTCCATGCAATTCCCTAGGTCCAATGCCCAGCACCAGGGCAGGGGGTTGGGGGGGGCACAAGGAGGAGCTTTAAATATGTAAGTGAAACAAGCCAACCCAAGAAGCTACATATTGTATAATTCCAGCTATGCAACATTCCGGAGAAGGCAGATTATGTCAACAGTTGTCAGGGGTTAGGCAGAAGGAGGGCTAACGAGGCAGAGCCGAGACAGGAAATGACTTTGTATGACACTGCAATGGCAGATGTATGTCATTACACATCCAAGCCCATGGAACATCGAGTGAAGCCTAATGTAGCCTCCGTACTCTGTGAACGCAGATTCATCCATTGTAACCAACCTTCCACTCTCCTGGGGGATGCTAGTAATGGGAGAAGCTAGGCATGCGTAGGGACAAGGAACATATTGGGAAGTCTCTGTACTTTTCGCTCCATGTTTGCTGTAAATCTAAAACTACTTTTTAAAGATTAAGTATTTTAAAAGAAAAGCATGAGGTAGTGACAGATGTGAGAGTTGACCTCATATCTTTGTTCAACTTTGGCTTTTGATAACCGCTTAACTCTTCTTGGTTGGAATTTTCTCAGCTGTGAATGAAAAAAATAATACCTACCTCACAGGGTAGTCATGGGGATTAAAGGAGAGATCACGAGCTCCTCGTGGACAGAGGAGCTCTTCATGTCTACAGCTACTTCCATCTAGTGCATTGCCTGGCACCCGGGCTCCATAAAAGTCTGTTGAATGAACAGGTACATGAGCCCTAATTGAAACTTTTCCCTCTGTTGGACATCTGGGACATTTTTTTGCTATTAATAAAACATATTCGGAAGTCCATCTATTTCTATGGCCTAATTTGATGTGCACACCTGTGAAGTAGGTAGAAAGGGACTGTTCACACACGCCCACACCCTGGGAGACCTGGACCAACTGTGGCTCAGAGAGGTGAAGGGAATCCTATGGGTCACATCACAAATCAGTGACAGATTAGAACTCTGAACCCAGCCTCTCTTGCCTGCCTCAGATGGCTCACTTTTCCATCGAGCTGCCTCCTTCTGTATCAGAGGCCCCTCCAAAGATGGAAACTGTGATGACTGATCTGACCCCAGAGCAGCACCTCTACTCAAAGATCCCTTTTGGGGGTGATGAGGCCCCAGCTCCCAGGTGGCCCTCTGAAACTCCAGGAAAACAAATGCTTTATTCCCAAACACCTCAGAGCCCATCTTTTCCCAGAGCAAGGAGCCTCTTAGGAAAGGACCAGTGCGCCAGTTTTGCTTTTCTTTCCTTTTTTTTTTTTTTTT